TGGTCACAACAATGGAAGGTTTAGCTAATCCACGTACCTACTAATGAAGCTCTGCAGAGAGACTGGGTGTAGTGATGCACACCTGTAATGTTAGCACTGGGGAGTCAGAGACAGGAGGATAATGAGTTAGAGGCCAGCATGGGCTGCCCAGCAAGACCTTGTCCAAAAAAAAAAAAGGCAGCTCTGCATGAAATGGGGATCCAGAAAAAGACTCAAAGGACATACTAGCATATACATTCTCCTTTGAGTCTCATAAAATAGTTACTCATTTTCTGTTAAAGAAACAAAAGATTTCCCAGTGCTGCCTTACATTTCCCAAGCCCTTTACTTCAGAAGCTAGGATGAGAGTTTAAATCTTCTGTTCATTTGCCACTTTCCGTTCCCTGGAAAACATTCTCTCAGCTAGACAGTGAGTTGTCCACATGACATGAGTAGTATCTTACTGCTTCTCAGCTGGCTTCTGTTGGAGCAAACAGTAGCAGACACCTGGAGAAATTTTTGGCCAGGGATTGCAAAGAACATCACAATTCTAATTCATTCTCAGAGACAGCAAAGCTGAGCAAACTTGTGCACAGATGAGGACTTCCACCAGGAAAAACAACATGCAGGTCAGATGATAGATATCTGGAAATCTTATCTGTTAATATGTTTGTTCTTGACTTTAAAATTTTAGTCTTTACTTTGTAGCTTTCAGTAATATTTTTTTCTTTTTTCCCAGATGACAACAATTTAGATAGGAAACTACTGTACTTCTAAACTTCTTATTCCTGTATTTTATCCTTTTGCCCTTCTAATTTTAAAGAAGAATTACATGTCTTTTTTTTTTGGATAATCTACCTGCAGGCTGTTATCAATAGTGGTAACTAGACACACCAACTTTAAAATGATTTCTTTTTGTTTTCTTCATCAGATTCACAAAATGGTCTAGTGTAGTTTAGATTTTTCAGGTGCTCAAGCAGATTCCTGTAACCAATTTGTTTTTCCAATTTAGTTTAAAATGCAAATGGTAGAACTTCTAGGGTATGGTTGCATGTAGTAGTCCGGGGTAATCTGTTGTGTCTCTGGTTGGTTTTGAGAATGTTCACATGATTTAGTATTTAGAAGTGTCAGTAAATTTGTATGGAGACTATCTGTAAGCCCCTTTGCTATTCTTATGTCATCAAATTGCTTCATTTCTGTTCTCAGCAAGATTAAGGCTGTCTCTTTTTCTATCTTCTGAGTCAGGATTTGTTCCATTATTTGAAGTTTTACAACATATACATACATTCCCAATGCAAATTTTTGGCTCTTTGTTAATCTTATTAGGAATGTGAGTCAGGAAATAGTGGAAAAAAATAAAAAACAAACAAATGTAAGCAGTCTTCAAGAATAAGTGGGTTAGTTAATTCTAATTAATCCTTCTCTTGGGAGGCTGAGGAAAGAGGATCTCTTCAACCCAGGAGATTGAGCTGGGCAGCCTGGGAAATATAGTGAGAGCCTATGTAAAATAGAAAAAAAGAAATCTCTCAGATGTTCTGTCTGAAGGAGAATTCCTCTGGGTACACATATCTACCAGCTCCATCTCCCTCTCCTGAAATACCCTCTGTGTTACCATCACATTCTTTGCTGCCAGCATAAGGTGTATTAGCCCTTGAGATAGCAGAAGTTGCTTCCCCATCAAAATCCCCAGTTACCTTCAAACATTGCTATTAAGGATGTCTGTATTGCTTCAGCTCTGGAATTAGTCTAATTTCAGAATAAAATATTTATTAATAGCAGTATTCTTAATCACATTTTTAAAGATCCCTGGGGATGCACAAGACCCAGTTGAAAAGAACACCTTAGGGCTATGGGGTACACCATATGGTAGGCTAGTTGGCTGAGTAAATGAGCAGCCCTGTGGAATTTAATCTCTTTTTGGGCTTTGACTTAGCTGATCATTCTTAATCCATAATGCAAAATTTAAATGGTTTCATATAAAACATGTAAAAAGACTTTCTTCTTTAAGGCAATTTGCAGGCCTATGGAGTTTAGGTATCTCATAGAGCAGTATTGAAGAAATGGCTATAGCTGCTGGAATGGCAGTGCTGAACAAAACTATTGCCTGACTTTCTGGAACATCAGAAGTCATCAGAGTAAAACTCATTGTTCAAGTCGGTAGTCCAGCATTGTAAGCCTATGAAGTTACTTGTGGAAGAAGATATGCATGATTGTGGTATATGAATGTTTTAGAGGTGAGTTTTGCTCACTAGCAAACACTCCTTACTGAATATGTCTCTGTAATTATGTGACTTAAAACAAGAAATGCTTCAGTTTACATTTAATAAAATGTGAGATCAATCAGAATATTTATTGCCCTTATCATTCATGATACACACACATACTCATTTTGTTTTGATTCTTATACAGATGATTGCATTCTCTTGTTGCAATACATATTTGTTCAAGGGAAATGTGTTACCTCACCTTCTCTTCAGTTATCTGCAACTTCTTCTCTTTCTTTCCATCATCATTTTCTTCTTCCTCCTCTTCCCCTTCTCCTCCTCCTCCTGTTCCTTCTCTTCCCCCTCCTCTCCACTCCCTGCCCCCCACATTCATTCACTTGGCTTCTAAAACAACTCCTGTTGTTTTAGATGAGCCCAAGTACTATTTGCTGTCTTAGCATTCTGCCATCTTCTGGGGCTTATTTTGCTCTCTTCTCCCCTAGATTAGTCCACTTTCTATTGCTGTACCAAGATGCTTAGTGCTGGGTACTTTATAAAGAAAGGGGATTTATTTAGTTCATAGTTCTGGAGTCCAAGAGCATGGTGTCAGCATCTGCTCAGCTCTAGAGAGAGCCTTCTGGCTACATCACAACGTGGTGGATGGTAGATGGTAGAAGGGCATATAACCAGAGATTTAGGAGCTGCTTCTCTTTTTATGCAACTACTACTGTAGTAGGAATTAACCCAGTTCCCTAGGAAGTGCATTAATCTCTCTGTCTAACTTCTACTAAGCTTTCTGTCTTACAATTTCCACCACCTCAGTACTGCCACACTGGGATCAAGTTTCCATCACATGCATCATTAGGGGGACATACTTAAACCATATCCAACCTTATCCAAAGACATAAATATTAATCAGGTTTTGGGGAATAAAAACAGACTGTTCAGACTAGCATTATTCAGTGAAACTTACATGAGTATCTTGTACTTATACTATGCAGTATGGTAGTCACTTAACCACATGTGGTTATTGTATATTTGAAATGTGGCTAGTGTGATTGAAGAACTAAATTTTTAATTTTATTTAATTTTAATGTAGTTTAAATAGCCATGTGTGAGCAGTGACTACCATATTGGATAGCACAGCAACCACCAAGAATTCATAGCATCAAAAAAAAAAGGACTGAGTAAATGCATTAATTACACAGTGGGACTCACCACTCTAAAAACCTCTTTTCTTTTTCTAAATTTACATGTACTAATTGTACAAAGAAGTTTTATTATGATATGTCTATACATGCACATAATGTACTTTGATCAAATTTACCCCCTGTATTACTTTTCTTTATGTATCACCCCTTTTAAAAACAATTTTAATTTGTTTCATTATTAAATTTTTATATATACATATAAAGTATTTTGCTCATATTCACCTCCATCAGCCTACCTTTTTGCTGTACACCTTCTTCTGTTCCCCGTCCCTCAACATCTCCCCTTTATCTTCATGCTATTTTTTTAGGTCTAGATTCTGTGTATGAGAGAAAATGTGATATTTGTCTTTCTGAGTCTGGCTTCTTCTACTTAACATGATGCTCTCTAGTTACATCCATTTTACTGCAAAGGACATAATTTCATTCTTTTTATGACTGAATAATACTCCATTGTGTGTGTATATAATACCACACTTTCTTTATTGATTTTTTTTGGTTGATGGGAAAATACCTGTTTTCTATATTGAGCTACATGGTACTTAGAAATAATGCAACCATTTTTTGATATATAATTATCATTAAGAAATGAGGAAAAAAATCATCACCTACCTAAAGCATTTATAATTAGTAAAAGACCATTATTCTCTAGTGATTTACAGATCTGATTTATAAATATATTATCTATTATTTTCACAAGCTTTCCAAAGCTAGATACTATGTTTTCCATTTTATGTAAGAAGCTGTGGTATAACAATTTAAAATAACAAGCCAAACTCACCTAGCCAGTAAGTATTGGAGCCAGTGTCACAGTGAGTATTTCCCTTGTCTCCCAGAGCATTTGTACTTGTTTTCCTACACATCATAAGGAAATAAGAGTAGAGGTCAGGAATATGACCCCTGGCACCAACGCCTGATTTGAATCCTGCCTCTACTATTTCACCATGTGGATTTGAGAAAGTCATTTCGTACCTCTAAGCCTCAATTTTCTAATTTTCATATGGAAATAATAAAGGTAACCACTTCACTGGGTTACTGTGAGGGTTAAATAAGTTGACAGTGCCTGGCACATTGCTTGAACCATGAATTTGTCATTTATTGTCATTAATTTGAAAGAGACTGACATTTGTGTTATGATATTGATTTGATATGATATTAATAGATGAACTAGAGACATGCTTCCGGTAGACTTCCCTAGGGAATATGGAGACTAATAATTATACAGCTCAGGAAGAGAAGCCATGCTGTTCAGCTCTTTAGTGTCTGTATAACTGAGATTACAAAGTTTCAGAGACCTCATGCCCTGGCCAATTTCTCATATCTTTGCTTTTCATGTTACCTTTAGAGATACCTCCTTTAGTGTCTTTGATTGGTTCTGAATGCTGAGCAGTGACAAGCACCAACACAGCTGGAAAGAGCTGTAAGATTTGCTCTTCTGTCTTCGAGCAGGGAATTATTGCCATGGATACCAGCATCAGAGGGAGAATGGGGAGCACTCTTTACTTTCCTCCTGAGTGTCTGACATCTGTTTCTGGCAAGGCCAATAATGAATGTGCTGCTAGCTTTATATCAAAGTGATCCACACCTGTTTCCCTCCCCCCTCCCACAGATGGCTTCTACCCAAGATGCCAGGTATGGCCAGAAAGACTCCTCTGACCAGAACTTTGACTACATGTTCAAGTTGCTCATCATTGGAAATAGCAGTGTGGGGAAAACATCTTTCCTGTTCCGCTACGCAGATGACTCTTTTACATCTGCATTCGTCAGCACAGTTGGGATTGATTTCAAAGTAAAGACTGTATTCAAAAATGAAAAGAGAATCAAGCTTCAGATTTGGGTAAGTGACTTTGAACCAACACTGTTCTTCCTTCTGGATGTTGGACCTATACCTGTATAAGGGAAAAACTTTCTGTCTTATTCTGTCTCCCTGGGTTAACCAGCTTTGATTTTCTGCTTCTTTGCTACAGAACATTCTGTTTCAAAAAGAATGGGGTGATGCCTTGTGGAGGTATGAGACTGAATTACACCTAGTTGTCAAGTGATGCTCTTAGGCTCCAAAATAAAAAAATCCAGATTCCTATTGTCTTGATGTCAGAAGGAACACTCAATTATATGTCTGGCTTTGCCTTGTATGATCTATGTGACCTTGAGCAAGGCTGAGAATCTTCCTATGGCCATTTTTTTGTAATTTATAAATCAGGCACTATAGATCTGACCTTTTAGGTCACAGGAAGCAGCCTGCCCTGGGGATTTTAAAAGAGAAAATAAACAGCCAAATAGAGAAAGCCAGAGTTAGTTCCTTTATAAAACCCCAGACTAACTTTGAACATAGTCCGTTTATACTTTACAAACTTTGTGTTTCAGCTCTAAAAGCTATGTTTGCATACTCAAATGAAAGATAACATGAAACAAAAACGTTTATCAGAAAGTTACCTACAAGTTTTGAGATCATTTGGCTAGTTTTCTGCCTGTCCCTTTGCCTAATGATCAGAGGTTTCTTAACTGAATTGTTGGCATCAGTTTGGAAGACAGAGAGCAAGGAAAAGAGGAAAATATATGTGGGCAATAGGTCCAAGGTAATATAAGAGATAAAGTAACCAAAATGTTTGTTATACTGGAGATATTTATGTAGTAAATATTTTGTGGACATCATAATATGAACATAGAACGTTTCTGCAATCAAGGTTTGACCCTTTTTTCCTGTCTACTCATACCGCTGCCATGAAAACTCATTTGAGCTGTGAATAGGTATTTCCTATGAGGTATTTTCTGCCTCTTTTCAAGACATTTCCAGTAGCTACTACCATTTCGTGCTGGTGGTGGAATTGATCTGCACCAATCAATGATGGTAAGCTCCTTTCTTAAATATGGAAAGAAAAATCCCAGAGTATTGCATTTACATTTTTAAAATAGAACACCCTTTATTAAAATATGTATATAAGCTGAATGACCTTTAAACATCTTAAAGGTCTTAAGAGACAAATTTAAAGATATAGCTATGTAAATAGACAGGCATCTTCTTAGACCACTTACAAGGGATTTCTGCTGTTTTACTTATTCTAACTCTGGAATTTTTGAAGTCTAACTCAAACTCACATTAAAAACTTGGAAGCAACAGTAGGAATCTCTCTGTATAGCTGTCTTTATCTCAAACTAGCAAAAACACTATGTCTTTCTTATTATCTCTTTTATGTTTTCTCTTTAATAAAATCAGAGAACAAGAGGGAGGAACAGGTTCTGCCTGGAAGCAGGTGGGGGACATGGGAAGAGGGGGGAGGGCCCCAAATAATGTATATACATGTAAGTAAATGTAAGAACAATAAAAGAAAAGGAGAAAAGGAAAAAGATTGTGCAATTTTCCGTTATGAAGATTTGTAAATAAAAATCATACTGATAGAAATTTAACTAATAAAAAATAAGCATTACATATACAAAAAAAAAAAAAAACTTGGACAAGTAGGCTTCAGGCCACGCATTTTCAGTGCTCCACCAGTTCTTAAAGTCATTTCATTGAGAGGGCTCAGCTTAGGAACTTGACTTCAGTCACCAGATCCCAGTAACGTGCCTGCATGTTGGAGCCAGAGAGAGCTGTGTCCATTGCTTCACTTTTGGGACCTGGTTCATTCTCTTCCTTTTGAGCTTCAGGCACCAACTATAATATGTTAAACTTCATATTCAAACTTAAGAAAGGTCCCTTAAGTCTCAAGGGTTTTGGTTGATTGAAAATTAAATTAGTTCGGTAACTACACATCTCTTACCTTCACAGTAGTGTTCTTTCTGCTAATGCTAATAAGGAAGAACACCTGTTCCTCTGGCAGACAGCACCTAGTTTTTCCTCTACTCTTTGCATCTTAGAGACATTTAAAAATGGCTGTTGGAATAATTTAGACAAACACCAACAATTATAAATTAAACTTGTAATTGTTAGTGATTTCTCAATCTAGGCTGCTGACAGAAATTCTTCATTAAGCCAGGGGTGGTGGCCCATGCTTGAAATTCTAGCTACTTTGGAGGCTAAGGATCAGGAAGATGGCTGTTTGAGGCCAGATCGGGCAAAAAGCTGGTGTGACCTTGTGTCAGCCAATAAGCTGGGTGTAGTGGCACACAACTCTGATCCCAGCTATGCAGGAGGCATAAGTAGGAGGATTGTGATCCAGGCTGGCCTAGGCAGAAGCACAAGACCCTGTATGAAAAATAACTGAAGCAAAATGGCTGAGGGCCTTGCTCAAGTGATAGTGCCCCTGCCTAGCAAGTGCAAGTCCCTGAGTTCAAACCCCAGGACCACCAAAGAAAATGTGTGTGTATATATATATATATATATATACGTGTATATATATATATATATCTTTGTTGTGGCACAAAATCATCTATCCTTAATGGAAAGCAGGTATTTGAAATACTAGAAATTATTTCCCATACTTAAGAAAATATTTTCTTTAAAACAGTCAGTGCTGATACCAGGCCAGAGCTTGTTCATTCTCTTTTCTTAGGCAGTTATTTCTGTCTGCATCTCACTTCTGGATGAATATTGCTCCTCTCTGAGCCAGTCAGCAACTCAGATCCTTGAGCTGCTTCTGCATGCTTCTCAGTTTCTGCAACTTTATGCAAAGCCTTTGATATCTCTGCCCATACTCATCTCTTATCTTCCACAATGCACCAGTTTTACTAAAACCTCCAAGTGTCTTCATGGCCAACTTAGCCCGGGACCTCATTCCAGAGCTCCATTCCCTTGTTCTGGGGACACCCACACCCCACAGGAGTCAGCCACTTGGGAACCCTTCACCTTTTCCTCTCTCCAGTCATGAAAACAGTTTAATGGACATTAATACCTTTACAATAAAACAGAATTTCTTTCTCTTCAGGTATATTGGGAGCTCAATGCACACACAATTGTAGGGGAGAGAAAATTAGTTTTATACTACTATATATCACCTGGCCTACTAGATTGTGAAACATTAAAAAGAAGTACTGTAAAAGACATTGTGCTTACTGAACTTGTAGTATAATTAGAGAAATTAATACTCATGGAGCAATTATATACTTCTACAAGAAAGCATGAAACTATATAAATATACATTTATTGCATAAGAATTGTCTATGCCTTTCTCTGTCAATTTTTATAATGCTTCAGCTTTGTATTTGTTATCATTCTTATTTTACATGAGAAATCTGAAGGTGGGACAAGTTAAATAACTTACTCAAAGTCATACATGGTAAGTGGTGTGAGGCAATTTCAGACTAGATCTATCCTAGATAGATGTGAGTGCTGTGTTTGTTCCCTTTTGCTATGCTGCTATAATTAAGAAGTCTTGTATATAGTAGACTTTTGTGAAGATGACAACCTTGGGTGATGCATCCTGGGATGCTGAAAAATGTTTTGGAAAGAGTTTGACTAATTTTATGAATTGAAGCATGGAAGGGAAGTTACATTAAGGAGTAATAAGATAGCATGCTTAAATGTATGCATTCTTATAATAATTCCACGGATTCTTGCCTTAGGCTCTAAGTGTGCTAGAAAATATTTAATTGCACATAATTATTATAAGTTAACAACTTTGACAATTTATTTTGGAATATATTTAACACTGATGGCTTATCATAACTTGGTGTTTTAATAACCAATTAACTGTTCTTCCAAGCGTATAGTATTTTATGCACTTGTATTAATGTACAATTAATTAACACATTTGCATCATCTTAGCTCATTATATATTTCAAAGCAAAGGAACAGTATGAACACCATCATAGATAGGTCCACTGCACTGTTGCTTTTACCAAGTTAGGTTGCAGATACTGATATGGTTCTGATGTACTATTAATACCATAAATAGAAACCTAGATGTAGAGAGTTTAAGTGATTAGGACTTTATTTTACAGTTAGTACCAGAACAGAACCTCAAACTCAGTCTTTTGCTAGCTGGGCCATTCTGATTTCCACTACACCAAGTTCATGCTTAAGGTAAGTGCTGTTCTCTGAAAATTGTGATGAATCTCATATTGGTTGCCAGTGGAATCAATTAAGCATAGAAAAGTCAGATTTGAGGCCAGATTTCAGGTAGTAGTTGTAATACATCTGGTGGCTCCTGTTTTCCACCTCATAATTTGCCTTTTCTTCCTGTGCTACATGAGGATTTTCTGATCCACAAACTGTACTATGGGGTTTTCAACAGTCCATCATTCAGTGAAGCATTCAAAGGATGCTAGATACATTGACATCTCGTCCTGGTCATGTTATCCCTCCTCTGCATGGAATTTAATTACTGCCTTGGAATAAACTTGTTTAGTGAGATGCCCTTTATTTGTACTTAGTTTTAGACTGTGCATTCCATTAGTATATTTATGAAACCATCTATCCTTCATCAGAGTAATTTTTCTTGTAGAGCTTTCATTTTATTATCATTTTTTTGAGTCTCAAATCAAACTTATTTAAAATTTCAGAGATTCCAAATGTTTGGACTGGTTCTTTTGTGTTCATGTCTGTTGAATGCCATTTAGGAATATGTTGGAGAGAAATTTATGGTGGCTTTTCACTTTAATTATAGAAAAATATTTCACAGATGGGATCCATAATATTTTGCTTTTAATTAAATAAAAGATTAAGTTTGAGAAAGGCTATGTGAAATAGATTTCTTCCCAAGGAAATGATTTTTAAAATAGTATGACATTTCTTACTGAGAAAAGTATCACCTTTATTTATTTTCAATGTCTAGATCAGTACTACAAGAGGACTGAGGCTTAGAGAAATATTTGCAAACTAAAGAGTGATGGTGATTATTGAAATTAGACTGTTTAGATGGCCAGACATGAAAGTGTGGTTCTCTTGAACAGGTGACAATT